CCAAGCAACAAACCAATCAATCAATCAATCTATCATTACAAAGTTTTTTTTTTTTTTTTTTTTTAATTTACAAGCAATCAACCAATCAATCAACCAACCAATCAATCAATCAACCAATTAATATTTCAATCAATATATATATATATATGTACGATATATATATATATATATATATTACACATAGAGTCTCGGACTCATGAAAAAATATATATACATTTTTTGTTTTATTTTTTTAATTGGGGGGGATACCCCCCGACACCCGACCCCCCCCCAAACCCATCCATTCACTCAACACCCTTCCGGAACGCCACATATGGAGGGCCTGAAATCCGTACGCACGGATGGGCCGTCCCTGTACTAGGTGACGACACTGCCCTAGAGTATCCAACTACCTTTTCAATACCATTCAATCCACATGCACACGAACAGTAGGATAAAAACAAAAGAAACAATATATATATATATATATATATGTATTTCAGGCAAGTAGTAGGATCAACCACACAAGAGTATTCCACTACCTTTTAATACTAAATAAACAGTAGGACAACTCACACTAAAGTACCCTGCTATTTGTTTAGTTTCCAACAAATAAACCACATTACACAAATTAGTATAGACTTCAAGCTTGTAATAGGATGAACCTCACAGGAGCCCCCTACTGCCTTTTGAACACTGCACAGACTAACTTCTAACAAGTAATAGGATGATCCTTACAAAAACCTCCTACTATCTTTTTAATATCGCACAGGCTAACTTCAAATAAGTAATAAAATAACTCTCACATGAGTATCCTATTACCCAACGCATTGGAATATCTCGATCGCTAACTTCAAACAGGTAATAGGATGACCCTCACAGCACCCCACGTCCGACAAAAGAAGGACGACAACCTTGAATTACCAACATTAACTGATATGTCGCAGATAATTCATAGTAACTTTATTCTGGTCGTTTGATTGTATCTGGATTGAAACTTGAGTTTTTATTCCAACAGTTCGTAGGTGTAGCAACTGAGTTATGCCCATTGGTTCCAGCAAAGACAAGTCTGGCACCAACATCAGCGTCGTGTCCTAGAAATAAGACCAATAATTAAAAGAAAAAAAATAAAAAATAAAAATAAATTGAAGTTATAAAAGTACGAAAAATGAATGTCAGTACCTTAGGGAAGGGAGGTCATCGGTACCCCATATCAGTTCCATCCACTCAGCCCATGATGGGTCTGGGAACAAAATCAAAGGGGGATAGTTTAGCCGGACCCTTCACCCCCCGGCTCCTTTAACTTGAAGATGCTCAATTACTTTTATTTCGTAGACTGCTGGTCTTGATCCCTAGATCTCCCTAATGAAAGTTTAACACCGTTACGGTAACCAATAGTGTTAGGCTTAAGAATAACATAAGTAGTCACGCAATCCATTATAAACGGGTACCACTCACGGCCGCCTTACGCACCATTTGTCACGCCAAACCGCGCCTTCACTCTCTCAGTGGCATAAGCCAAGAATTTGTCTGAACCACGTCTGTTTCCACATGCCCTCGTTAAAACGGCGGAAAGGACTTTCACTTACTAATAGGCGAGCACAACGGAAGACCTTGTTGTACCGAGTGCTATCCGGTCCGATGGTCCCTCTGAAATAAGAACGAAACAACCAGTGGCAGTCAAACCTGACACTGGTCATGACAAATATCGCCTCCATGTGAGTATACACGCGACCATCAACATATCGATTAAAAGGAGAGACCACTTAGTCCTAATTTAATTGGGGGAAAAAAAAATCGACCAATAATGGTGCCATCTCCGTAACATTAAAAAAAAAATAAAAAAATAAAAATATCACGTGTGCTTTAAAACTGTGTGGACACACAATCCCTATTCTTTTATTTGAATACACTGTTGGTAAGAAACAAAAGGTCTGGTTGTGACTTGCGAGGCGTACTCAAATGTTAAATCAAAATCAATTTCTGTCATTTTGCAAGAACCAGGGCGGATACCCTTATAAGGGTATTCGCACCGACACCCCAACTAATGTATGGGCCACTGATGGCTTAATGTCTATTTTGGTATTCCATCTACGTTGGGTGTTTTTCCTACTGGAAACTGTTAAATTGCTTTGTGCACCTTTTGGATTGTGGTGTGTGCATTGTACTTTGCCTTGCCAATTGGGCTCTAAATCAATGCTTGTTTTGTGTTTAAAACAGCAGTTCGCCTGAAGCTAAGTCGGGCTTTACTGTTCTACGCAATAAGGCGCTCACATTGGGGACCTAAGGGGGTAGTGAATGCAAAAACCACTATAAAAAGAAAACTCGGAGTCTCATGGGCCTTGGGGAGAGATGGTTAACGGGGGGCCAAATATTCACCGTTTTTGCCGGCAATTTTGGTGCCACATTCATTGAAATTAAAAAAAACAAACGAAATGGGCCCATAGTGCAAAAAAATCCACGGCCTAGCTCAGTTGGTAAGGCACGCAAGTGGCATTCAGGAGGTCTTGGGTTCAATCCCCATTGGCCTCATGCACCTTCCTGGGCAAGCTTGGC